CCCAGACATAAGAACCTAAGAGAAGCCAATGTTGGATCAGGCCAATGGCCCACCCAGTCCAACACTCCATGTCACACAGTGGCCAAAAATACCAGGTGCCATCAGGAGGTCCAGCAGTGGGGCCAAGACTCCAGAAGCCCCACCACCGTTACCCCCCCCCAAGCACCAAGAATACAGAGCATCCCTTGCCCCAGACTCCTCTGGATCCTTCTTGTTTGACCATGTCATTATAATTTATTCTATTGCGGGATTCTGTTACGTTATTCTACATATTACATATTTTAATGACCTTTTTATTAATACATAATTTATGTTAGGGTATTTTTGCGTTCTATTACAGTGTATTTGTCATTACTGTGTCCGGGGACACGGCAGCTGTCTGTGCCAGGTTTAGTTGCCTCCCCCAGTTTTCGCTGCCTTCTCTTATCAGATTCCTCTTTCCATAATAACCGCTGCATCATCCAGAGTCTGAAGGCCTGTCCCTTCCAGGTCAGGTCAGGGAGGTCTTCTCTTGCAGCTTGGCTTGGATGTCCGAAGCCCGACGACGTTTCCTCCTTGACATTTGTCCCCTTCTTCCCCACCAGCAGAAAAGGCCCAGGAGGAGCCACCGGCCAAGCTGCTCGATGACCTTTTCCGCAAAACCAAGGCCGCTCCGTGCATCTACTGGCTTCCCCTCACAGACACCCAGGTAAGAAATGGCACCCTTCAGGAGCTCTGGGAACAGATGCCGGGCTTTGGCTTGTGTCGTGTGGGCCCGCGAGTTCCTCATTTTCTGGCAGTTTTTTAGCTCTAAAAATCCCTCAAGAAAGCAAGAGTGAGCTCAGGCTGTCTTGTTTTGGTGCCCCCGCTCTGATTTTGAAAGGGAACCTAAGAAGGCCAGTGCCTGCCACCGCACTCCATGTAAGCGTGGGATTTGTGTGTGGGCATCTGTCCGTGTGGGAAAGGAAAGGAACGAAGCAGAAGGTGTGTCAGCTTTTCTCTGTGTCTGTGAAAGAGTAGGATCTTCTCTCTTCCGGGAGAGTGGCGGTGGCGGCGATGGAAGGGGGCCTCAGAGGGTTTCCGAGGCAAGAGACGTTCAGAGGTGCTTTGCCATCGCCTGCCTCTGCACTGCCGCCCTCGACTTCCTTGGTGGCCTCCCATCCAGGGTCATCCCTGCTTACCTTCTGAGATCTGACAAGATCAAGCTAGCCTGGGCCATCCAGGTCAAGGCAAGAGATGCTCAGAGGTGGTTTGTCATGTCGTGCCTCTGCTTAGCCACCCTGGACTGCCTTCATGGTCTCCCATCCAAGTACCAACCAGGGCCGACCTTCCTGAGCTTCTAATAACCTGATGAGATCGGGCTAGCCTGGGCCATCTTAAGTCAGGGCTTCTGAAGGGTGGCGTAGCATAAATAAGATGTAAACCAAGCCAATGGCCATGTGTAGTTTGGTTTTCCTAAGCCAGGGGTGTCAGACATGTGGCCCAGGGGCCGAATCAGGCCCCCAGAGGGCTTCCCTCAGGCCCGCAGTGGAACTGGCCATCTCCTGCTTCCCGTTCTGCTGCTGCTGCATCATAGCTTGCTTCGCCAGACTCTCGTAATCACTCGGCCATTTCATGTTTTAACCTGGGTCCTAGACTCAGAACGCTGAGCACGAGATTTCTGTGGTGAATGTCCATAAATCAAAAGTAGGTTTTCAGCTTACAGAGCTAATGTTTTAAACATGTTTTTATTTTAAGTTAAAAAATAAAAAATCTTTGTGTTTGTGTCCTTTATAAAGTTGATATCTCCGCTACCTGGTGTGACATTTTATGACACACATGGTCCGGCCCAACAAGGTCTCATTTATGTCAGATCTGGCCCTATGTCAGATCTAGCCCCTGCCCTAAGTCATGCTATCGCTAGATGTAGGGGAAGAGTAGAGTCATCCAGGTCACTGAAGTTCTGACCAGCCGGCGGCTTTTTCCTGTCCCAGAAATACTGAGTGGAAGCTCAGAACAGGAGGAATCCGCCTTTGTTCCGTATTCCTGGGCCTGCCCTTTTCTGTTGTTCGGGGGGGGGAAGGGTGGCACGTGTTTCCAGGCAACCACTGACTCCTGACTCTCCCCGCTCTCCCCGCCCAGTACGTTCAGAAGCAGGCAGAGCGAGCGGCCCGAGCCCGGGAACGGGAGCGCCGGCGCAAAGAGCTGGAAGAGGAGGAAGCCCGCCAGCAAGAGCGCAGCCGCCAAGCGGAGCGAGAGAAGCGGCGGGAGCACAGCCGGGAACGGGAGCGCGAGCGGCCCAACGCCTCAGGAGGAGGCGGGGCCAGCCGGGGAGGCGAGCGCAGCAGCGGCCGGGATCGCGAGCGGCGCGAGGCCAAGACCCGCCGGAGCCGGAGTCGCAGTACACCTGTACAGGACAGGGGGGGGCGCCGCTGAGCTATTCCAGCATCTTTACGTTGACCTTCCGAGGGGGAGGGGAGGTGGCACCACT